AAACGGTCAGAAACATCGTAAACGGTCAGAAACATCGTAAACGGTCAAAAACATCGTAAACGGTCAAAAACATCGTAAACGTTCAGAAACATCGTAAACGACCTTAAACGTCGTAAACGGTCAAAAACGTCGTAAACGGTCAAAAACGTCGTAAACGTTCAGAAACATTGTAAACGTTCAGAAACATTGTAAACGTTCAGAAACATTGTAAACGTTCAGAAACATCGTAAACGTTCAGAAACATCGTAAACGGTCAGAAACATTGCACACTTCCACAAGGCAACCCAGCATGCTTTGCAGCTCACACAGTCTTTGGGACTCTCTCACAGAGACAACTTTGTGAGTTTGGAGTAAATAAAATAAAGTTAAACAGATGCACATCTTTATTTTAATCTGGTATTACAAATATCTGTGTTTTGGTGTTAATAATGTTTAATTATAAGAAGTAAATCGGCCGAAACATGAGTCAAAAGGCTGCGCGCTCTTTCTCCCGCTGTGTGGGGAGTTCTGATAAACTGATATCAGTGTTTGATCACCTGCGAGCCAGATTAAACGACAACAAATTTATTACTGGTGGAATATTGATGATGACGCACAGCAGCTTTGAAGTTGGTTTTAAAAATAGTTAACCACAAATAGGATGGATAAGCGAGTTAATTCATTATAGTAACTGACATGAAGAAGACGTTCGACACACGTCACTCTCGCTTACAACCCAGCTGAGTTCTGCTCCGCCTTTTTTGCTTCTGCTCAAAGTTGACACCTGTCAGGATGTGAACGTTTCACCTGTGATTTATGAACCGTTTGAGGAAGAACTGGTCTGTGCAGCCATTTTTATTTTCAATCAGAACTGGTTCTTAATTGTCCTACCTTGAACAAAAACGTGTCATTCATTCAGGGAACATCAAAAATGCTCAACATTTTTTATTTTATTCTGAAAAGCAGATAGATTTGGCAATTCAGAGATGGCAGAATAATATTTGTGTTAAATAGTTTGTCATTTTTGTTTTAAATATTGTTTCAACATTAGCATATCACTCCTTTTTATTGCAAATATATAAATCTTGAAATGTTATTTCTTTGAATTACACTTTTCAGTGATGCATAGAAAGCACCTAAACTCAGCTGTCGGGTTTTAATTCTGAGACTCGCGCTGCAAAATACCAGCAGGTCAATCATGATTTATGAGATCAGGGCACACTGGAGGACCCAGGTTGCATTTCCTGCTATGGAAACCTTGTAAGTGAATCCCCCGATAGGTAATTTAACACTCGGGTGTTAGCTTTGTGTTGTTCGCCGTGCTTAGAGAAAGAGCAAATATTGTTGTCTTTTTACTTTGACGTGTCAACAACTGCCACAGCACTGCAGTTGATGAGGAAGTTATTACATTCTCATGACTTAACATATGATCCGTAGAACATCGCATGGCCGTCCTGTGTTTTTGTTTGTTCCTCTTGAATGTTTGATGTAAACAGCTTAGCGTTACAGTGGGTGTGTTCAAACTTCTGGCTACTTTATGTGACGTCACTCTGTGCACTGCTTCATGGCTATTATGAGCTTTGAATAATCTAGATAGCTTGTTTTTTTAAAGAAAGACAAAAAGTTGGATAATGAAAGCATTCATAAAACTTTTGCCATGTCTGTTAAGGTATTTATATCTGTGAGGCTTATTATGTCAGGTGCTTGACTTGAGATTATAGGGCTTGGTGGTTGCAGTAATTTGAGCTACTTTATAAATCGATACAAAGCTCTTCTGGCTTTTTCTTTACTGGACAACAAATTTTATTATTGCACAACATTAGTTACTGAACAACTGTTGACAAGTTTCTTCTACCTAAACACAAAATCCTGTATTGGTCTGGGAGGACCTTGAACTGAGCTTCAGGTCTCTCTCACTTATGATGCTTATATTGTGTCGTCAGTGTTTTTAAAGACCTGTCTAGCTGGTTTGAAAAAGCCCACGAATTTCAATAGATGGTCATTATTGAGACCTACTGCATGATGTGAGGGAGGCAAATATTGGCTATCTAATTTAAAACTTCCATTTGTGTTGAAGAAATTTAGAAAAAATTGTTGCTATTGTAACCATATTTGCTACTTGGTGGTGAAGCTCTCAGCAAGAAGGTCGCCTGATTCAAATCCTGATGGGGGGCCTTTCTAGGTGGAGTTTGCATGTTCTCTCCATGCATGTGTGTGTGTTCTCCAGTTACTCCGGTTTCCTCCCACAGACCAAAACCATGCATGTTAGGCTGATTGGTAACTCTAAATTGTCTCTAGGTGTGAGTGAGAGAGTGAATGGTTGTTTGTCTCTGTGTTCCTGTGATGGACTGGAGACCTGTCCAAAGTGTGCCCCCCATCTCTCGCACAGTGACTGCTGGACATGGGCACCAGTGACTCCCGTGACCCGAAAATAAAGGACCGGGTACAGCTAACAAATGGGTGGATGGATTGATGGTTGCTATTTTTTGGTATTTTAAACAATGAACCTGTCTGTGGTATCTTGGGTTTTTTCCCTCGTCTTTTTTTGTTGTTGTTTGTTTTAATAACAAGTTGAGCGTCTTTAACCTCTAAAATTTGGACTTTTTTGAACATAATTGGGGAAATTACAATGTGGTGATTGTGGTTATTCTAATATCAAATGACCAGTACGTTTTAAAAAGTCATGATGATGGTGTGACAACAAACCTGCATGTGATCATATGAAAGCAGCACCATAAGTTATCATGAGGAGTCACAATTGTTCAAGTTGAACTTTTTTTTTTTTTTGCATAATTTGAAGTTTACGGCTTAATTTCTGATGCGTAATCTTTAATTCTCATTTTAGTCATCGTGACTTACAGGTGGAGCTGCTTAAATCGTGTTACTGTAAAATATAATCGCAAAGCCGCAGTTTAATTTCTTGTGAATACTTTTTCTTCGTTTTTGTCACCATACATAACTTGATAAATTTCTGCCACTGTCCTTGTTTTTTTTAGGCATGAATCAGCGAAATGGCACAGATGTCGATGCGGCCAGTGTGTTTAAAGTGTTTTCAAAGCTGGGGTACAAAGCGAAGGTTTACAACGACCAGACGGTTGAACAGATGAAGACGATTTTAAGTGCAGGTGAGTACGATGTAAAACTCTCATCACTCCAGAACTTGGGATGCACCGATCCACATTTTTCCACTTCCGATACAGAAACCGACATCTGAGGTTTAGTATCGGTTTATACCGCTATGATGCCAATCTGACACTAAAAAACTGTGTTGAATTAATTCAAAACATTTGTTTTTTTTAAACACAGACATAAATGTTCTGAATTACAAATTTATTGAAAACTGCACCAGTACAGCACACTTAAACACACCAATAGCTTCACAAGCTTGGTCAAACATGTAAAAACAGCACTTTAATTTGTTCAATCAGTAAAATTATGAGAATAACATCCACTGTTAACTAAATAAAAATAAAGATACAGAAACTGACAAGAAAAATAGGTTGACAATAGACCTGTTGCAATAAACGATAAATCAATTAATCGCTTGATGAATGAAAATTATCAACCTCATTTTCATTTACTGGATTTATCTTTTCTTGACGTCTCTCTTTTTTTCTACTGAAGACACAGCTCAACTCTGGTGCTCTTCACTGACTCCTCCCTTTCTCTTTGCTCGTTAAAATCTGTTTTAACCGTCCAAAATCGTGTTTTTTGGATCGTTAAAAGCAGCTAAGCTGAGAAGCTAAGCCAACAGGCTAACCTTGGGAATAAACCTTGGTCTTGTCAAAGCTCCAAAATTCACGGTTGAAACCTGTGCCTTAGTGTAAAAAGTTGTTTTTCTCTGTAAAAAGAAGCTGAGAACTTGTTTACTGATTTTTTTTATTTTTATTTTTAATTTTAATTTAAAGCTTTGTGTGAAAAATGCTAAAGAGCTCCAATCACCAAGCGTCTGTCAGCCCATGTTACATCAAGGTCCCTCCCTCCCATTTTTCTTAAAGAGACATGCTGCTCAACTATCCATCCTTTGGTTCAAACAGTCTTATACTGCCATCAGGTGGTCAAAAAAGGTACTACATTCCAAACAAATCCACATTTCTTCTGAAATTTAACAATTAATTATTGTTAAATTTCCAACAATATTACCGTTTATCGCAATAATTTCTGAGACAATTAATTGCCCAGCAAAATTTGTTGTTGTGACAGGCCTAGTTGACAACTTTGGTCAAACATGAAAAAATAAACATCAACAAACCTTTCAAATGGTTCAGGAATTCTAAATATAATTTAAAATAAATGATAAAGGAGCTGAAATAAGAGGAAAAAACAATGGCTTCACTAGAAAATAAACAGCAATCAGCTCCTATCTTAATGAATCGGTCACATTGTCACGATACCCGATCAAGAATTTTTTGATATCGGGACTGATATGCCATTGATATAGCCACTCCTTGTCTTTATGGACTTCCAAAAATACACAAAGAAGGAACACCACTCAGACCCATTGTCCGCAGCATGAACTCTGTGACATACAATATTGCTAAACATCTGGCTGGTATTTTAGCTCCTCTTGTTGGAAACACACCTCATCACATAAAGAACTCCATTGATTTTGCCAACAAAGTTCAACATTTTAAACTAACTCCAGGAGAAACCCTTGTATTGTGTGATGTGACTTCTCTTTTCACTTGCATACCCATCTCTGAAGCAGTAGAAACCGTCAGAAAACAACTTTTACAAGACAAGGTCTTAATCAACAGGACCAACTTCACCCCAGATCAGATCGGCACCCTGTTGGATCTCTGCCTCTCCACCACTTATTTCAAGTTCAATGACAGTTTTTACAGACAGAAGCACAGCTGTGCCATGGGATCTCCAGTGTCACCTATTGTTGCCAATCTCTACATGGAGGAAGTGGAACAGAGAGCCCTAAACTCCTTTGAGGGAACAACGCCAAGCCATTGGTTCTGATATGTAGATGACACCTGGGTCAAAATCCAAGCTAAGGAAATGGAAACGTTCACCAGACACATTAACTCAACATCAAGTTCACCAGAGAGGATGCAAACGACAACAAGCTGCCTTTTTTGGACTGTTTGGTTCAGATGGAGAGAGAGGACAGCCTCAACATTGACGTTTACAGAAAACCAACCCACACAGACCAGTATCTTCTGTTTGACTCCCACCATCCACTGGAACACAAACTCTCTGTCATCAGAACTTTACAACATCGGGCCGAACGTGTCCCCACAAAGACAGAAGGGAAGGAAAAGGAACAGAAACACATTCAAGAAGCTCTTCAAACATGTGGATATCTTAACTGGGCTTTTGTCAAGTCAGCGAGGAAATCTACAAAACGCACTAATAAACAGAAAAAGGAGAACAACAGACATAAAAACATTGTTATCCCTTATGTTGCTGGAGTATCAGAGAAATTCAGTAGGATTTTCAACAAACACAACATCCCAGTACATTTCAAACCCAGCAGGACTCTCAGACAGAGACTGGTCCACCCTAAGGACAAGACACCCATACACAAACAGAGTGGTGTAGTGTATGCGGTCCAGTGCAGCGAGGACTGTCCAGACCTCTACATTGGAGAAACTAAACAGCCTCTTCACAGACGCATGGCTCAACACAGGAGAGCTACTTCCTCAGGACAAGATTCAGCTGTTCACCTTCACCTCATAGAGAAGGGACACTCTTTTGAGGAACAAAATGTGCACATTTTGGACCAAGAACACAGATGTTTTGAGAGGGGGGTGAAGGAAGCAATTTTTGTAAAAAGAGAAAAACCATCTCGAGGAGGAGGCCTCAGATTTCCACTTTCAAAAACCTATAATGAAACTTTAAGACAGATTCCCAGCCAGTTTTCACACCTGATGGGAACAGAGGGGCCTCGTCTGTGAATTGGAGTAAAAGGCCTTAAGAAACCCCCACTGTTAAGGTGTTTAGGGTTGAATTGCCAATCTACATATGTGTGTGTATCTTATCTCACACAGCGTTATAACCTGAACCCCTCACTCTCTGCTCTTTGAATTGAGAAAGCTCCTCAGATGAGGAGCGAAACGTCTTCTGTTACAAATAAAGTCCAGTTGTTTTTATATTGAAAGGTTTTTTTTTTGTATTGAACGTTTTTTGAATCAGTACTGATACTAATATCGAATCAGTGCATCTCTACCCAGAACGTATTTGCATGTTCTGTAAATACAGAAAATTTATTGCAGACTGCTTTTGGAAACTCTCCATCAAAAGCAGCACAACGTTTTTGTATGTTCTGATGGATTTTTGTTTTTGTTTTTTAAGCATCTCGGGAAAATCACGGCAGCTCTGCCTCGTTTGTCTGTGTTCTGTTGAGTCACGGAGACGAAGGTGTGTTTTACGGCACCGATGGCTCAATCGAGCTCAACCAACTAACGTCTCTTTTCCGAGGCGATCGCTGTAAATCACTGGTGGGAAAGCCTAAATTATTCTTTATCCAGGTATGGAGTTTTATTTTAATTCTTCACTCGCTGTAGCTTGCTGTGTTAAAGTATCTAACCTCTTAAAATATACTTGGTCTATTTGTGTGCACAAGGCTTGCAGAGGCACTGAACTGGATGGAGGTGTGGAAGCAGATGGCTCAGTGGAGACCACTAGGATTCCTGTGGAGGCAGACTTTCTGTATGCCTACTCCACCGCCCCAGGTGACTATATATATATATATATATATATATATATATATATATATATATATATATATACACATACATATACAGGTGGTCATAAAATTAGAATATCATGAAAAAGTTGACTCATTTCAGTAATTCCATTCAAAAAGTGAAACTTGTATATTATATTCATTCATTACACACAGACTGATATATTTCAAATGTTTATTTATTTTAATGTTGGTGGTTATAACTAGGGATGCACCGATCCACATTTTTTAAATTTCCGATCCCGATACCTAAATCTGGATATCTGCCGATCCCGTTCCGATATCATCATAATCATTTATTTCATATAAGGCTGTAATAATCTCTCAAGTACAGTTTGTACAAATATATGCATGCATGTCCAAAAAGGCAACTTGAGGTAAGTTTTTATTAATGTTGGATAAGTTTCAAAGTTATAATTAAATTCTGCTAACACAAAACATGTTGTTTTTTTTCTTATTCCTAGCTTTAAAAGTGGACATTAAAGTGATTAATTGATTGTTTAAAGTTATTTTATATGTATATTTTTTTAATAAAGGGGAGATATAATAATTTTTTTTCTTCTTTCTGCACTCTTTTCATTCAATATTTTGTTTTTGAGGGCAGCACGGTGGCGCAACTGGTAGAGCTGCTGCCTCTCAGCGAGCAGGTCCTTGGTTCAAACCCCGGTCCAGGGGCCTTTCTGGGTGGAGTTTGCATGTTCTCTCCGTGCATGTGTGGGTTTTCTCCGGGTACTCCAGTTTCCTCCCACAGACCAAAAACATGCATGTTAGGCTGATTGGTAACTCTAACTTGTCCCTAGGTGTGAGTGAGAGCGTGAGTAGTTGTTTGTCTCAATGTGTCCCTGTGATGGACTTGTGACCCGTCCAGGGTGTACCCCGCCCCTCACACAGTGATTGCTGGACATGGGCACTGGCGACCCCCGTGACCAAAAATGGAATAAGCGGGTAAAGATGATGGATGGATGGATTTTGTTTTTGATGAATTTGTTTTGTTTATTTTGTCTCTTTTAAATTAATGAATGAATTAATTAAATAAAATAAAAAATTAAATGGCTTTAAACATATGCCAAGTTCGTGGCATAAACCAACACAGACATGTTTTTTAGTATTTTACTTCGCTTTATAATGTCGCTGTTTTTGTTTCGTTTTTTAATATAATTTTCTTGTATTTTTCAAATCATATGTTTTTGTTATGATCGTTTACTGTTGTACTGATATCTCCTGGAGGGTAAACTATATCTTGGCTGCAAGTATCAAGCTGAGAAATTATACGTTTTCTACAGCTGATAGCGGTTAGTTATTAATTACAATGAAGTTTAGCAACTTCTCGGTAAACATTCGAGCTCTGGGGCTTCAGCGGTTGTTATTCTTGTTCAATCCGCAGCAGGCAGTCTGATTTCAGTCAGAAGTGTTCAGTCTGCCCCTTCACGGAGACGGGCAGACGGAACAGGGTAGATTAGACATGGCTGGCCGGGGTTGGGCTGCCCGCTACAGGTTCAGTGGGAGCAGCAGACCGCTGAAGCCCCGGAGCTCGAATGTCCAACGTAAAACTAACTTTACCACGGTTTAATGTGGCGCTATGGCTCTGCAGACATTGCACGTTGCTGTCTTATTTCTTTTAATGTTTATGATTATAACTGACAACTAATGAAAACTCCAAATTCATTATCTCAGAAAATTAGAATATTACTTGAGACCAATTAAAAAAAAACAGGATTTTTAGAAATGTTGGCCAACTGAAAAGTATGAACATGAAAAGTATGAGCATGTACAGCATCAATACTTAGTTGGGGCTCCTTTTGCCTGGATTACTGCAGCAATGCAGCTTGGCATGGAGTTGATCAGTCTGTGTCTCTGCTCAGGTGTGATGAGAGCCCAGTTTGCTCTGATAGTGGCCTTCAGCTCTTCTGAATTGTTGGGTCTGGTGTATCACATCTTCATCTTCACAATAACTCATATATTTTCTATGGGGTTAAGGTCATTTGAGTTTGCTGGCCAATTAATAACAGGGATACCATGGTCCTTAAACCAGATACTGGTAGCTTTGGCACTGTGTGCAGGTGCCAAGTCCTGTTGGAAAACAAAATCTGCATCTCCATAAAGTTGGTCAGCAGCAGGAAGCATGAAGTGATCTAAAACTTCCTGGTAGATGGCTGCCTTGACTTTGGACCTCATAAAACACAGCTGACCAACACCAGCAGATGACATGGCACCCCAAACCATCACTGACTGTGAAAACTTGACAGTGGACTTCAAACAACGTGGATTCTGTGCCTCCCCTCTCTTCCTCCAGACTCTGGAACCTTGATTTCCAAAGGAAATACAAAATTTACTTTGATCAGAGAACATAACTTTGGACCACTCAGCATAGGCCTTTTTGTGTTTAGCCCAGATGAGATGTTTCTGACACTGTCTCTTGTTCAAGAGTGGCTTGACACAAAGAATGTGACAGCTGAAACCCATGTCTTGCATACATCTGTGCGTGGTGGTTCTTGAAGCACTGGCTCCAGCTGCAGTCCACTCTTTGTGAATCTCCCACAGATTTTGGAATGGGTTTTGTTTCACAATCCTCTCCGGGGTGCGGTTATCCTATTGCTTGTATACTTTTTTTTTTCTACCACATCTTTTCCTTCCCTTCACTTCTCTATTAATGTGCTTGGACACAGAGCTCTGTGAACAGTCACCCTGTTTAGCAATAACCTTTTTGTGGCTTGCTGTCCTTGTGCAAGGTGTCAATGGTTGTTTTTTAGACAACTGTCAAGTCAGCAGTATTCCCTATGATTGTGTAGCCTACAGAACTAGACTGAGACCATCTCCTTCTTCTGTGAGGTTTTAACGGCAGCTTACATCCCTCAAGGTGTATTACTGCCATCTAAAGGTACTAGTACTTATAACTACTTGAATTCTCACATAAACCCGTTGCCCTCAGGAAATGCATAAAGTATTTGTGACCATATTTACTGGATCTCCATTCCAAGATGCTCTTCAAACATATAGGACTTGTTACTTCATTTGTCATTTGGTCCAGTAGACGTTTCCTTTCAGCTGAATATTTAGCTGAGACCATTTAAAGGCCTTTGCAGTTGTTTGGAGTTAATTAGCTGAATAGTGTTGCCCCAGGTGTCTTCAATATTGAACCTTTTTTTACAATATTCAAGTTTTCTGAGATAATGAATTTGGGGTTTTCATTAGTTGTCTGTTTTAATAATCAACATTAAAAGAAAATCATTGCAAATATATCAGTCTGTGTAATGAATTAATATAATATACAAGTTTTACTTCTTGTATGGAATTACTGAAATAAGTCAACCTTTTTTATGATATTCTAATTTTATGACCAGTACCTGTATACTAATCATTTATTTGTCTTAATTCAGTCCTAATTCCGTCACTTATGCATGTGCAGGTTATTACTCTTGGAGGAATACGATGTCGGGCTCCTGGTTTATCCAGTCCTTGTGTGATTCCATCAACAAATATGGGCAACAGTTGGAGCTGCAGCACATCATGACCCGAGTCAACCACAAGGTGGCAGTGGAGTTCGAGTCCGTCTCCTATTCACCAGGCTTTCACGCAAAGAAGCAGATTCCTTGCATTGTGTCCATGTTGACCAAAGAGATGTATTTTTTCCCTTGATGTCATCTGAGCTTGTCTAAGCAAAGGTTTGTGTGGGGAGCTGTGGTGTACTTCAAGTCTTTCTACCTGAAGCTCTGTTGGAAGAAAAAAAAAAGTGTTTCTTGGGAGCAATTGTGATGCAATGTTTGTAGTTTAGTTTCTCTGGCTTGGAGTTATTAGTGTCTCACTATATGGAGTTTGTTTTTACAAGGGTTTGTATTCATCTTTTTATCACAGCGGCACAATCCTCTGCACATATAACCTTATAAAGGTTATTTGAAAGCAAAAAAAAAAAGGTCTAAATTTACAGGATAGTCGGATGTACTTTTGCTGTTTATACTATAAACATTTCAGGGAATATTCTTGGAGCCACTTGATAGGAAACTAGACTCGTCTATTATATTTATCATGAAGCCATCTTTGGCTTTAACATTCTTTAAATGATTGTTCATTGTAGGTGGAGTGAGTTAATTTATAGTTCATTTTGAAATAATTATGCAGGGCTTTTTGTTTTAATCTATACTTTTATCTCTACACTTCTTCTGATTTAGTGTATTGACACTTGATAAGTTTTGCAACGTAAATATTTATTGATTTCGTGAGAAGCCTGAATAATGAAAACAGAAACTTGATAAATGACGTGCAGTAAAGTCAGGAGCTTCCTGAGAGCTGTGATGGGATCTGTGGGCTATAAAACCCAGAGACTGGTTTGGGAGTCTCTTGTGTATTTTCTGTTGGCTTGAGAGTTTATACTTCAACTAAACTTTACATTTTTTTTTAAGTGCATAAATAGTCAGGTTGACGTCAGAGCAAAAAAAATTCTACCGTAGTTCAGTCACTTTTCTTTATTTGAAGAGAAACCAAAAGTGCTCTAAAGCTGAAATGAGGTGATTCTGTTATTTCAGATGATGTAACTTGAAAAGTTTAATCAGTTTTACAGAATTTATTTTATTTTTGTCTTTTGCCGTTTTCTATTTAACGGGGTAAAGTCAAATTTTTTCACCCCGATTGTTTCTACAGTAACTTTTGCTAAACAAAGTTTTGA